ACTACTGCACAGTAGCATCGTGTCATGTTTTCAGTCACGTGGTGCTACTGCACAGCAGTTATGGGCTGCTGCGCAGTCAGTGTCTTGTGTAGACATGTCCACTGACCACAAAATGATCCTAACAGGAGGAAGGAAGGAGACCAGCAGTATAAAGATGGTGGACTTTAGAAGAACAGACTTCAGCAGACTCAGGAACCTGATGGGCAGGACCCCAAGGCAGCAAGCCTGAGGGGAAAAGGAGTCGGGGGGAAAGTAGCTGTACTTTATGGAGGCCCTTTTAAGAGCTCAGGGGCAAGCTATTCCAATGTGATGGAAGAATGGAAAGTGCAACAGGCGGCCAGCCTGGCTAGACAGCAATCTCTTCAATGAATTGAAACTTAAAAAGGAATCCTACAAGAAGTGGAAACTTGATCATAGTACTGAAAAGTATAAGGATATTGCATGAGCATGCAGGGAGAAAATTAGGAAGGTTGAGGCACAACTTAAGATGCAACTGGCAAGGGAAATAAAAGGCAATAAAAAGGGATCCTGCAAGTATGGCAAAAGTAAGAGGAAGACCAAAGAAACCATAGGTCCCTTCAGGAATGTAGAAGGCAAACTAGTTATGGATGATGCAGAGAAGGATAAAGTATTTAATGGGTTTTTTTAACTTTAGTCTTCACAAATACGGTCAGCTTTCAGATCATGGGTACTTGTAAGCATCGAGGAATGGGCATTATATCCATTTGCACCACTATGGCAGGAACTGTTTCAGTGCCATTGGGTTGGATGTGTTGTGGGGTTTCTGTATATAGTGTTGGAGGTGGTTAACCTTCTTTTTAATGTTTGGGGAAGAGATACTTGACCACAAACACTTTGTTTTCATATTCCTGTTACCAGCTGCCACACATGATGGAAGCCGGGGATGTGCATCCAAACCTTGGACCTCATCTCATGCTGGAGAAGAGTGGATGTAGGAATGCGCTCGTAGGCACCAAAGCTACAGAGGGAGCATGATGGAGGCTTTGGTGGAGGCTGCACAATCCCAAGTGACTGCCGCGGATGACTGGTGGGACAAAGTCCAAGAGGTGCTTGAGTGGATGATGAATGGGAGACACAAAGCGTGGCCAGCACTATTGAATTCAGGAAGCAGCTTCTAGACCCTACAAACCAGTTTTCTGAGCTGGATATGCAGTGCAATGCAGATCTCCAGGAGACATGCATTGATTAAGGATCATGTCCTTAAGCATGTGAACAAGCACCCTATTCGCAAGCGGATCGGCCCAGAAAGTGCACACAAGCTTCTCTCAGCTTACCTCTGTCCAGGAGGTAGCCAGGAATATCAGGGAAGTGCACAGGGAATAACAGGGAATAACAGGGAAGCCTGTTCCCTCACCTAGATTGCTTTTGTCTGAGGGGTGCCCCGATGCCAGCAGGGCCAGGGGAGTACTACTATGGTTCAGGGAGGAAGGGGTGGGTTAGACAGGGAGTACATGGCTGGGAAAAAAAACAAATTGGCAGGAGAGGGGTTTGTATTTGTTTGGTGCTGCTTATTTGTAAACAGGGGACCTGGGGAGTAGGCATCCTGTGGTATTTTTTTTGTCATTTTAGTATGTTCTTATGTGTAATAAAAATGTATTTCCCATCCCTGTCTGCCTTCTTTATTGGGAAGGGTTAATAATGCCTGGGTCTGGGTGTTGGGTTATGTAAGCAAAGCCAAACATTTCCTGGCTTGCATCAGATACAGAGTGGTAATGAGAGAAACAAGATTTAATTCCCCACAGGTGGAAGGTGGGTGGGGGTAGGAGGGCTAAAAATGGTGGTAAACTTTTAACAAACCCCTTGGTCAACTGCTCCTGTTGCTGCAGCAGGAGAACAAAGCCAGGGAACTCGGTCTGAGTATGTGCTAATTGCCCTTCTAGAAATGTGAAGTGGCTAGGTAATATCTTGCATTAAAAAAGAAAGTGCCTGCCTGTCGCAGAGCACTCGGGTGCCCTGCGCCTAAAAGCAGAAATGGCTCAGGAGAGACCCCTAGTTGTGAGAAGGGGGAGGCTCAACTGCCAGTCACCAGGGCAGCACAGGTGCTGGTTGCTAGGAGAACCAAGGGAATCAGCTGACAGGAAGGGGCAGGGCTTGGCCCCTTCTTAAGCCCAAGCATAAGGCCAGGAGAGCAGTTCCCCTCCGGCAGCCAAGGAGGGGGGAGCTTGGCCAGTGTGAAGAGAAAGGGGAAGATAGACTGCAGGAGCATCCCCTGCTTGCGGCTGAGTTGGAGTATTTTCCCGGTAGGGACAGAACTTGGTTTTTGACTGGACGTTTAGTTTACGTTATAGCCCAGGGGCTTTGTGTTTTGTGTTTACTATTTTACTGGAGGACCGGGTGAGGCTATTAGGGGTGGAGGAGGCCTCATAGGGATGCCATGGTAGCGTGGGGTTTCCTGGTGCTGGAGGGGGCGCAGCATTGTTTGGGGTGCATTGGCTCCAGTCCCGGAGCCAGGGGGCAGTGAGGAGCTCCGGAGCGAGAGGGGGCAGTGAGGAGCCCTGGAGTGAGAGGGGGCAGTGGGGGGGCCCCAGAGGTAAAGAAGGGCCAAGGCATAGGGAAAACCATGTCAAGTACCATCTGTGAGGCTTGGGCTGCGGTGTAGGGGAGGAAAAAGAAGCCGCAGATAGCGCCCCCTGACCGGGCATATAAAGTGGGCAGCCTCTCACTAATTAAATCACTCAATCAATTAAGATCAAGGCATGGCAGGTGAGTAAGCAGGCGGTTAGCCCAAGACAGGAAGGCAGAGCCACCAACAGAAAGGTTCCAGCGAGTTATCCCTGTTACAATGGTGCATTGGCCGGGAAGGCTTTATACGGCAGCATGCACCATAAGACGCTGGTTCGCCCATGTATAGAAGACAGCCTTTGGGCCCATGCAGAGGAAGGAGCAAGCGGTGGAGCAATTACATCAAAAGGTGCAAGACCTACTGGACCAAGCCATAAGGCAACAGGCCCTGTTATCCACCCTGATCAAAAGCACGCGAACCCAGTCAACGGTGCAGGTAGGACTGTGCGGCTACGGAGCCCGAGTTGCCCCCAAGGTGGGGGATGAGTCTCCCCCTTGTTGACAGTAGTAGTAGTAGAGGGGAAAAGAGTCACGGCTACTTTGGACTCGGGCTCCAAGAAGATGGTGGTACAGAGCAACGTATTACCAACAAGGGAGAGGGGAAGAGGGAACTGCATGAGGACGCAGTGCTGGTGCGGGGATGCCCTCATTTTCGACAGGGTGAGGGTCACTCTGCAACTAGGCAACAAGACCCGCCCAATGTTAGTGGGGGTCTCAGACCATTTACCCTACCCAGTAGTACTGAGCTGCGACTGGCCCGAGTTGCTAGAAGAAATAGCTAATGTGAGGTGCAAAGAGACCACAGAAGGTTTCGTGGGTGAAACTGAGCAGTCTCCTCACGAGGAGAGAGCGGAACAAAGAGTGGACATCGCCCGTTTGTGGGAAGATGAGCACTTACAACTAGAACAGAGTCGAGAGTCAGATTTTCAGTGGGCGCTGCAGGAACATCTCTCTCGGAAAGACGAGGTATTGTGACCAGAACTAATGAAAACAACTCCAAGGTTCGAGGTAAGAGACGGCCTCCTATACCGGATCAAGCGAGGGAAACCAGAAGGAGGGGAGGTCGCTCAGCTGTTGGTTCCGTGGTGATACCAACGGGCCTTATTGAAAGTGGCTCATGAACTCCCCATGGGCAGGCATTTGGGCCGGGACAAAACAGAGGCACGCATCCGGGCAAGGCTTTTTTGGCCAGAACTAGTTCAGGAAGTCGCATGATATTGTGCTTCATGTCCTGACTGCCAAAAAGTGAACCCCAGGCCGCCCCCAAAGGCTCCTTTGATTCTAATGCCTCTGGTAGAGGTCCCCTTTGAGATGGTAGCAGTGGACATCGTGGGGCCACTTCCCCAGAGTAGCACAGGCAACCAATATATATTAGTGCTACTAGACTATGCGACTAGGTACCCGGAAACAGTACCGATGTGGATGGTGTCTGTGCCGAAGGTGGCGAATGAGCTATTGAAGATCTTCTCCCGAGTAGGGCTTCCGAAGGAAATACTGACTGATCAAGGGATGAACTTTACATCCCACGTGTTCGAAGGAGTGAGTAAAGCCTTGGGGATCAAACATCTGAAGACAGCCATATATCATCCACAAATGGATGGGCTTGTGGAACGTTTCAATCAGACACTGAAGCAAATGCTGAAAAAGTTTGTGGTTGAGAGCCCACAGAATTGGGACAAAATGATACCCCCTCTGTTATTTGCGGTAAGAGAAGCACCTCAGGCCTCGACTGGGTTCTCACCATTTGAGTTGTTATACGGCTGGCAACCAAGGGGGATTCTGGACTTAGTTAAGGAGGGTTGGGAGGAACAGCGGCATAGAGACCAGAACGTCCTCCAACATGTGATCCAACTGCGGGAACGCCTTGAAGCGGTCTAGAACATGGTCATGGGAAATCTCCAAGAAGCCCAGCAACAACAAGCGCAGCATTACAACAGACGTGCCCGGGAAAGGAGATTTGACGTGGTAGATCGCGTGTTGGTTCTGCTGCCAGACAGTGAAAGCAAGTTACTTGCCCAGTGGCAGGGACCTTACGAGGTAGTACCCCAAGTGGGGCCCATGGATTACGAAGTATACCAGACCGATAAGAAGAAAAAGAGGCAAGTATACCATGTCAATATGTTGAAGAGGTGGGAAGACCGCGAGTGTATGTATTTAGCCCTTCACCCTGAAGAGTTGGAATTGGGACCGATGTTAATGGAGGAAAGTGGGCCGGGGGACGTAGAACTGTCCACGCGACTGTCGGAAGACCAGAGAAGACAGGCTGCCAAGTTGGTCAAGGAGTATGAAGACGTGTTCCAGGGAAACCCTGGGGAAGCCTGAGGCGTGGTACACCGGATAAAAACTCCTCCGGGCCTGGTAAGCATTGGAGATGGATTCCTCAGCACCTCCAAGACCCGATAAGAGTGGAGATTACAATGATGCTGGAGAAGGGTATTATCTGTGAATCTCGCAGCAGTTGGCAAAGTCCCATCGTGGCGGTACCTAAGCCTGATGGAAAAATCCGCCTCTGTGTTGACTACCGAAAAGTAAATGCAATGGCTAAGTTTGATGCCTGTCCAATCCCCCGAGTAGACGAACTGGTGGAGAGCGTCAGGCAAACTAACTACATCTCCACATTGGACTTGACCAAAGGATACTGGCAGGTCCACGTGGCACCCAAAGACCAGGAAAAAACAGCGTTTGCCACTCCGTGGGGTCTTTTTCAATTCCAACAGATGCCATTCAGATTGCACAGAGCTGCAGCCACATTCCAGCTATTAATGGACAAAGTTTTGCCTCCCCATGGGGGTTACGCTGCGGCATACATTGACGACATCGTGATATACACATAGGGTTGGGCTGAGCACCTCACTGCACTGAGGGCGGTACTGCAAGATTTAAGAAGGGCTGGGTTGACAGCCAACCCAAAGAAATGTACAGTGGGGGAAAAGGAAACGCAATATCTGGGGTTCCTAGTAGGAAGCGGAAAAGTGAGACCTTTGCTGAGCAAGGTGGAGGCGGTGCAGAAATATTGAGCACCCTGTACTAAAAAGAAAGTGAGGTCTTTCCTAGGACTGGCTGGTTATTATAGGAAGTTTATACCCTGCTTGGCAGGTGTAGTAGTACCATTGACAAATATGATAAAAGCAGGAGCTCCGACCCAAGTGAAATGGACATCAGAAGCAGAAGAGGCATTTCGAGCCGTGAAGGAGGCACTATGCCTACAACGGCTTTTGTATACTCCGGATTTCAGTAAACCCTTCTTGGTGCAGACCGATGCATTGGATGTGGCTATTGGAGCTGTGTTGGTACAGCAAGAAGGAGAAGAGCACCCTATAGCCTACATAAGTAGGAAATTACACCCACTGGAACAAAGTTTTGCCACAGTGGAGAAAGAGTGTCTGGAGATAAAGTGGGCTATTGAGACACTGCGATATTACTTGTTAGGGTGGCAGTTCACCTTGGTCACCAACCACCTGCCCCTGCACTGGCTGCAGAGTATGAAGACGGATAACGCAAGGCGGATGAGATGGGCCGTTAGTCTGCAGCTGTATTGTTTCAACATAAAACACCATCCCGGAACCCAAAACATAAACGCCGACTTTCTCTTGAGACAATATGAAGAAGAAGTGAGGCCAGGGGGGCCAGGAGGCTACCGGGTAAGGAAGAAAAATAACGGGGTGACAGGGAGGCGGATCCCCAACAACTGCAGTGAGGCCACCCGCTGCCTCTGTCAGGAAAGTACACCATGACCAGAACCGTCTACCCGAACATGGAGAAAAAAGAAAAGAAAATAGGCCTAAGGGCACCCTACCAAGGTTGGCTAGTGTGGGGGGACTACCTGTGGTGGGTAACTCCCAACAAATCCCACACGGTGCGTCTTGGGTAAAAGGCGAGTAGGAAGCACCTGAAAACCTCTGCTTCCTGAGCTTGAATTACTGGGTGCCGGGGAAAAGGCTGAGAGAAGAGCCCCAGACGATTGGAGCAACAGGTGCGAAGGAAGACACGGCTTAGTGAGTTGGGAGTTAAAAAGGTGGGGAGGTGTGTCACAGAGCACTCGGTGCCCTGCGCCTAAAAGCAGAAATGGCTCAGGAGAGACCCCTAGTGGTGAGAAGGGGGAGGCTCAGTTGTGAGTCACCAAGGCAGCACAGGTGCTGGTTGCTAGGAGAACCAAGGGGATCAGCTGACAGGAAGGGGCAGGGCTTGGCCCCTTCTTAAGCCCAAGCATAAGGCCAGGAGAGCAGTTCCCCTCCGGCGGCCAAGGAGGGGGGAGCTTGGCCAGTGTGGAGAGAAAGGGGAAGATAGACTGCAGGAGCATCCCCTGGTTGTGGCTGAGTTGGAGTATTTTCCCGGTAGGGACAGAACATGGTTTTTGACCAGACGGTTTAGTTTACATTATAGCCCAGGGGCTTTGTGTTTTGTGTTTATGATTTTACCGGAGGACTGGGTGAGGCTATTAGGGGTGGAGGAGGCCTCATAGGGATGCCACGGTAGCGTGGGGTTTCCTGGCGCAGGAGAGGACGCAGCATTGTTTGGGGTGCATTGGCCCCAGCTCCGGAGCCAGGGGGCAGTGAGGAGCCCTGGAGCGAGAGGGGGCAGTGAGGAGCCCTGGAGCGAGAGGGGCAGTGAGGAGCCCTGGAGCGAGAGGGGGCAGTGGGGGGGCCCCAGAAGTAAAGAAGAGGGCCAAGGCATAGGGAAAACCATGTTAAGTACCATCTGTGAGGCTTGGGCTGCAGTGTAGGGGAGGAAAAAGAAGCCGCAGATAGCGCCCCCTGACATTGGGCATATAAAGTGAGCAGTCTTCCGCTAATTACATCACTCAATCAATTAAGATCAAGGCATGACAGGTGAGTAAGCAGGCGGTTAGCCCAGGACAGGAAGGTGGAGCCACCAACAGAAAGGCTCCAGGGAGTTATCCCTGTTACACTGCCCATAAAGGGTTGACAAGTGGCATCCTTTGGGCAAAACACTCATGGAAGCTTAAGTCAGACATATAGAAACTTATTTTTTCATATGGAAACATAATTTATATATTTAGCATGTGACCTTGAGGTGTTCTGTACCTGGAGCTGAACTCCTCTCCATGTATAGATGTTACCTCTGGAGAGCCAAGAGACAGAAGCCCTTTGTAAATCTTTGCAACATTTCACAGATAAGATGCTCAGCAACAATTGTAATCCCCTGTCTTCCCTCAGATTGCGGCTTGGCCATGCATGGTGATGCACAGTGAGAATGGTAAGTCAACTGGTCAGACACACTGGCCAGGAGGCCACTGGATGCTCCTCCACCCCTCTCCCTTGCTATGTCCACTGTGGTCAGTGCCCCGCCTCCACTCTGAACACTTTTCCCCACTCCCTCATCTGCCCATGCAGGACAACTGCTCTGATACACTGCTGCACCGCCCTCAGTACGCAGGATTGTCTCATGTGGGTTTGCAAGACAACTGTTGGGGGGGGTCTTGTTGGGTAGCCACCATACTCTCTGGTGAGGCGCCCAGGGGATGGCCACCTCTCCCTATGCCAATGGGCACAGAGCCTGCCACCATTTCTTGTGCCCCAGGCCATGCACAATGAGCTCTTTGTGCAGGCTGAACGCTGCCTGAACCACTATAACCTGCTGCTGCTGATTCTGCTGGTGTCCCATGCACAGCTGCACTCCTGTTCAGGACACTTAGCAAATGCAAGATGGCATGGGGAACCAGCCTGGTCTGCCATACCACCTCCACCAACAGCTGGATGGATACCCATCACAGCACTACATGATCCTGACCCCCCATACCAAGGATGACATTGCCACAGAAATCAACGCCTTCTTCAGCATGTGAGGGGTGCACTTGGTCCCACCCAGTACTGGGATAAGAAAAGGGGATGATAAATAAAATTGTGTGTGAACCTTATCATGCCTGTGCATGTGCTGTGCAGTGCTGTTTTGTGGTGCTGGGAATAAGGGGCCAGGGCATGTTGTCATGCTATCCTACCCTAATAGTAATCTTAACAGTAATCCTTAAACTACTCAGATCCTCAGTGTGCACTATCATGGATGTTAGGGAAAGAAATAACCTGATATTCATATAGTGCGTGGTTGCACTTAATGTTCCCGCAAGATCACAAAACACCGTTTTTTGGGTATTCTGTAAGACCACCAAGTGAATAAGTGGTTTTGGGGAGTGGGGTTTTTGAAATTCAAACAGCACAAGTAAAAGGTAACTTTCAGAGAAGGTATGCTCAAGGCTACTGCTTTTGTGCAAAGGCTTGGGAGCACTGCTCTGCTAACATATTTTCTGCAGTGCAACAGTAGCAGTTTTCACTGGCACCTGTGGACGCCCTGCTCAGAATTACCTATTGCCAATGATGGTGGGGTTCTGGGCACTTGGTCTGAGGATAAGAGCTGTTACTAACCTCAGTGCCCCAGACACTGTGACTCATTGACCCAAACACCAGTGTTGGGGACCCCTGCCCAACAGCCTCCCCCACCACAACTGACCATGATCACATATGCCCCATCCCTGGCATTGGCACAGACAGAAGCCTCAAGTCTGGCCTTTGTATGACCTGGTCAAAGTACAGGGGGAAAGGGGTGGTTAACACAGGTCAAAGTAGTGGGGAGGTGGGAGGTGGTGTTCCCTTGCTAATCATAGTGTGCCTGGACTTGACAGAGCCAGCATTGACTTGCTGCGCATGCTGGCTGCTGTCATCCATGGCAGTCCCCCGTTATCCGTGGTGGGCATAGGCTGTGGAAGGCCAGGGCTAATGGGGCTTAGCTCCCCAAATGTGGGGCAGTGGTGGCAGTGCAGAGGGCCCAAGGTGTGGGCTCCAGGCAGCTACAGCAGGGAACATGCACAGACATATACACACAGCTGCAGCCTGCATACAGCCAGGATCACAGCTTGGCAGTGTGTGGAGCACCACCCGCCACAGCAGGCAAGTCTGTGGAGGGGAAGGGGCATGGGGGGGGGAAGATCGAGGTCCCTACAGTGAGGGAGGGAGTGTCTCAGGGGCAGGGGCTGGGGTGAATGGGGTCCCGGGGTGGGTCATGGGATGGTCAGAGTCCTGGGTGGCTTGTCTAGGGGTGCAGGGGACCTCCCACCACTGAGCCCACTCCCGGGGGGCATGGGGAGCATGTGCCCCCTGGATTTGTGCACGGGGTGGAGGCAGGCTGCCACTGTGTGCTGGGCTCTGCACACCTCTGCCGCTGCCTCGGTAGCCATACAAAGCCATGTGCCTGCCACTACTGGGTGGGCAGGGGATGCAGCACAACCTGGCAGTGGCAGGCACATGGTGTTACGTGGCTCCCAGGGC